TCATGGACATTTTGATTCGCTTGTATCCAAAATTCGGACTTCACTGAACCTGTAACCTTGGGGACACGACGTGTTCTGGTAGGAAAGCTCCCAACCCAACCCATGATCTAGAGTATGATCGTAGTGAGACCTTGAAGGTATGCAGTTCTCATCTCGCACTATTTTAGCCTTAATATTAATGATGTAGCATCTCGGAATGAACAATGAAATTTCTGGTAGAACTTTACTCTGCTGCCGTCTCTGGTCTCCTTGCTTTGCCTGGTTCACTAGTACCTATTTACCCATTACTTCGATTCAATGCTGCAGCACATCTGTTAATCTTCATTGATATCTATGGGAGAAGGTTGTTTGTTGCTACCTCACCCCTCGGTTCCTGTGAATGGATGATGCGACGAACCATCATTGAATTATTGGGTGGTCTGCAAGTTGAAATATTTAACCGGTCTTATGGACTAAGCTTGCAAATGGTCAATTGCGCATCAATTTTCAATACTCGGCTGTACTGTGTTGATAATGTATGCCATCGGTCTGTCAATTGAATCCAAACCTGTTATTCTCTCTCTTTATAAAATTAAGCTTGTCCGAAGCCTTTAAACTCCGCTTTTAGGAGATCAGGCCCGAGGCTTTGGAAGCGCTGGGTCCAGGCCTTTGCAAGCGCTCAATAAACGGCGCTTCCTTGGGGCTTTTGGCCCCATGATCGACTTTAAGCGCGCGCGCGCCTATACACAATGCCAAACTCCGCTTTTCGTTCACTGTTAAAGTTTCGGAGGTGCTAACTCGAATTCAAGCGCGGCTTTGGAAGCGCTGGGTCCGGATTCCGCAAGTAAGAGCCGGCGCGAAGCGCCGGCGAGTGCTTGTATTACATCTAAATCTGTCAGACTGACTCGGATATGGGAAATGTGGGAAGAGATCGGGGGTCTGTTTCCACGTAACCTACCGAAGCAGATGCTGTTGCCCAGTTGAGCAGAGCAGATGCTCAGATGCGGTGACACTAGTACTGCTTTGCCCTACACAAGGCCCCATAAATATGGTGGACGTTGTGTTTCGCGCTTCCAATTTCACTCCCCACTTGAAGTTGAGCAAAACGACGTCCCAGCCTCGGAGATCCCGACTGGTCATATTTATCTTTGCACCCTTCCTGCATTCTCGATTCTTGTCACCACCTTTAGAACTACGATGCAATACTTTGAACGATTCGATGTTCGCTGGGAGGCTATGATGCAAGACTTCTTGCAAATGGCAGTGAGTATCATAAATCTGAAGATCATCCTCTGATAAACAGCTAGGTTTCTCTCCTACTCTACGGCAGGTTGTCTCCTATTCCGTACTTCACTGCTAATTGAGTTGGGTCTCAGGCATCTACATCTCTCTCTTTTTGCTCAGCATTTACCTCCTCTTCCGTCGCCGAAAATCCCCTGGAATAAAACTTCTCATAGTCATAAATTGCATTATGGCTGTTTTGGGAACGGCGCAGATGGCAGGGAGCATCACCCAGGCAATTGTTCAAGCTCGCTTCGTCCAACAGACTGTTCACTCGCTAGTCTTGAATGAGCACGGTACCCGGTCCAATTTTCCAGTGTTGGAAGCCATAAGAGACTTCACCTTCTATATAAACAAGTGAGGAAACCCAATCTCCATTTCGAAATGGGACTCAGCCCAACCCCAGTTTCATAGCAGATTCCCTTTTCGTTGAGTTTTCTCATCTGCTGAGTGTGCATGGATTGATTTGGACTTTAGTTGTATCGCTGCTATGTGATATGGGGATTCCAGAAGAAGATAGTCATCGTGCCTGCACTGCTCATGCTATCTACCTTCGGTGAGTTGATTTCCCAATTTTAAGCCACCGCTGGATGGCACTGGTCGGTTTTTGTGTAGTTCTAGGAATCATTGAGTCCGCTGCAGCAAAATTCAGCATTCGTGATTTACAGATCACACTCAGCCTGGCTGCTGCAACAAATCTAGTTCTCACAGCTCTCAGCGGCAAGTCAGTATACTCAATTGTCCACATTCAATGCTGAAAGGCTCACTCAGCTGGTCGGATATTGTGGATCCGGCGTGCAGCATCGCATGTTGGTCTTGACCGCACACTCCGAAGTCGTTACAACACGGCCATTGGAATCATGTATGATTTTATATTGTACCGTCTATCCCCTGACATCTTCCAGACTCGAGTCTGGCGCAATATATTGCATTACGGCAATAGTTCTGGTTATTACTAGCTCGCTAGATCTGGAAATCTACGCCATCGAGCTCAGCGTTGTGCAACACGGGATTGTCAGTCCAATCAGTTCTCATTTGACCAGTTCATCTAACCTACCAATCCTGCAGAACATAATACCTACGTTCACACTGGTGTACATTGGCTTAAACAATACAGATTACAAACCCAAAGAACACATCCACCAAGTTGCATCCACCCACCACGCTTCCTCCCGCTCGGCCGTAGTGCGACCATGCGAACCTCGTGAGGTCCTCGATATTAAGCCACAGTCGACTGAAGAGAAAGACAGGGAAGGTGTATGAGATGACCCGCACGAATGATGGTTTTGTATTATTCTGATTATCGCAAGTACAATTTCGGATAAAGTTCTTATTTTTGTAAAACCTTCACAGCGTTCCCACCCTACGTAGACGCACCCCGGTGTACGTTGGACTACGTCTGTCTACGTGCTGCTACATGTGTCGATCTTTGTCTACGTCCGACTACGTATGTATACGCCGTGATGTCGGTGTACGTGCGGCTACGTCTGGCTACGCGGCGTAGACACGGCCTGTCTACCCGTTGGCTACGTATGTCTACGTGCATCTATAGCGTAGACGCACGTAGACATACCTCGGTCAACTTCATAATCCTATTCTGCATTGAGTTCATGTATCCAGTTCCGCAGAATTGAGTGAGGTATGTGCACATTTGTCTACATTGGTCTACGTGTGTCTACATCGGTCTATGTCGGTCTACGTACGTGGACTGAGGTAGACCGATGTAGGCATATGTAGGCGTATGTAGACGAGCCGTGTCTACATGATGTAGACATACGTAGACAAAGGGGTTCCTACCCTTTGTCTACAGGGATAGACAGACCCTCTGTCTACAAGGGGTCGGAACGCAGTGCTTCAAGATCAAAGAAAATACCTTGTACAGCCAGATTGCATACTGAGCCATCCCCTGAGCTTGTTGTGCAGTACATGTAAATGCACTATCTGTGATTGCGGGCAAAGACATATTATTGCACCGTGTGAACTTCTGAGTAATTGGTTGGGCCCGCGCTTGGTCGCACGACAGATTCAATGTGGGCTCAATTTTGTGCAGTAGAACATTGATACATACAGAATGCTCATAGGATCGGTGTGGAGAGATGCAACACAAGACCTCAAGAAACTAAAGAAAAAATTGGGTTCGACATGTTGCCGCAATATATGGGGTAGGTGCACGCCATGTGCAACCGGGTGGTTAGATACCCTCAAGCTGGACTTGAGTTTATGTGAGTGAAATCAGGTAGGTAGCAGATTCCAGTTATCGAACTCTTGGTCGACTGATATAAAGTTGATTGTTGATTTTTGTAGTCGGCGATTATACTATATGGAGAATTCACTGTGCAGAGAGAACAGGGACAAGCGACAGAAAAAGATCTACCAAAGAAAAGAAAAAAAAGAACCTAACCTGACGATGTATGACCCGACCCCGAGTGGAACAAGGGACCTCCTGCATTAAACGCTTTGTCGCAACAAGGCCAACGGGTGCACACCACGTGCTGCCGGGTGGTCGATTACCTTTGTTGGGAGTTGAATTTATGTGAGTGAAATCAGGTAGGTAGCAGCCAGTTGTCGAAGTCATAGTCGACCATGATAAAGTTGATTTTGAATTGATATTGATTTTTGCAGTCGAACCTAGTAGGTGCGTGGTAGCATCGCACACCGTACACAGAGAACAGGGACAACAGACCGAAAATCTGTGAAGGAAAAGAAAAGACGGTAGTCCAGACCTATCAACCGACCTCGAGTCGAACGGGGGTTGTCCTGCTGTATTTGGCTGCCTCCAGGATCAAACAGCGCCGGTGCAAGCCATGTGCTACCGCGTGGTTGGACATCTTGATAGTGTTTTGAATTTATGCTGAGAGGGGAGGTTGCAATTTCCTGCAAGTGGGCTGGATAATTGAAAGTAATGGTTCAACTCTGTATTTGAGTTTGTCCACTCTGAATTACTGAATTTCTCAGTTTAATTATTCCTAGGAACAGGCAACGAAGTAGATAAAATGAAGCACGGAGAAAAGAGGCACCGGGAATCCACTATCCAGCATCACTCGACCCCGGATCGAACCGGGAGGTCCTGCCTCATAAGATATCTCAGACGTCGTTAAGGTTGGCAGATGCACACCATGTGCTATCGAGTGGTTGAACGCCTCTAAGCTGGACTTGAATTTATGCGAAAAAACTTCCGGAGTTGAACACTGGTTGAAGTTCTCTTAATTTGATTGACATCGAACCTGCGGGATATCTATGGGAGAGCCCAATTAGATACAGTAGCGGATAGTCGAAGTCTTGGTCGAGGTTTGAGCTGATATTAATTCTTGCAGTCAGATAGTATTGCATGGAGAATAATTTGGACGAATGAAGGGCTGTCGAGCTGCATGATGAAATTTCCTGCCTTCGCGATGAGACCATATGGATGCATGGATTTGGAAAGACAAGGAGTGAAAGGGGAGAAAAAAGGAGTCTGCAGAGCTCTCATGACCCAACCCCGAGTCGAACGGGGGACTCCTGCGCTGTATGTATTGTCCTGCTCTCAACGCAAGGTACGCAGGCGCACACCATGTGCTATCGGATGGTCGAGTACCCTCTCTGGGGGCTGAATTTATATGAACGAAATTAGGTAGCGTTTGAATTTTTTTACATTTTTTACAGTCGTACACGGTAGGTGGTTACACACAGAACAGGGACAAGCGGCCGAAAAAGATATACAAAGAAAAAAGCAAAAGAAAAACATCGTGGAACATTCGTAATGACCCGACCCCGAGTCGAACGGGGGACTCGTGGTTTTATGTCCAATTCATCAAATTTGAGCAGGCGCGCGCCATGTGCTATCGGGTGGTTGAGCACCTTGCACCTTGGTTCTTGAGAAGGGTTGAATTTATTTGAGTGGGATCGACTCGAATTCGCCCTCGGGAGTGCCTGTCTTTGATGAATTTTAAACTAAGTATGCCAGTGCTGGCGAGGTTGTTGAGGACGAGAACTTGAATATCCAGGATCCACGAGATAAGATAGCGGAACCAAAATTAACCCAGCGGAGGAGTTACGACATGCACCAACCACGCGACACGGGTGAACTGGATGAACGATTTTTACCTATATGTAACTTGGAGCGGAAGAAGAGCGGGCGCCGTTGTGTTTTTTTTATAGAGTCCGAGACGTCGACGGACGGGATGATATGCGATCCGGTGGGACTTAGGGCGCTCTAGAGAAGGTATGTCAATGCACTCACAGGTACGAGTGATTTACGAGAGAAGGAACGAACAGTGGCAGGGATATCATTCCTTCATATATGTGGTAGACCGATGACGAGTGCTATATGTGGCAGGAGGAATGTTTTGTCTTCGGTCTTGAAATCACACAAGGGCCGGGCATGGAGTGATGAAAAGGATACACCTTGATAAGCCCTACGGCGGATAATTGTTCATGTATAACGTACAAGTCAGATTGCAGAAGATTCGAGATAGATAGGCTCGAGATCCGGGCGGGTGAGGTGAGGTGTTATTGCTACACTGTGGACAACGTTGGGACAACGAGAACGAGGGAAGGGGAGGGAGAAGAGTAATCGAAACAGCGCGATCCGATGCCCTTAGTTTTGTGAATTTACGAGTTGAATCCAAAGCGAAAGTCCAAATTGCTGTCCAAATTGAAAGGAAGATCTTATGACCCGACCAATAACGTCATCCATTGATCGAACTTCGGTTCGTAACACGCCTTGTCGGTTCCTTCCACAACGCACACTGACACCGACGAGACGACGATGGGCACGCTCGCAGTACCACCGAGCGACCCCTTCAAGGACCATCTCCTCGCCATCCTCAGCCTCCACGACGCCCCCCGCGCCGCTGCCGCCCCTGTCCCACGCTACAGCGGCCGGGCTAGGGCTTCGACCCGTCCGTCCCGACAGACGGCCGGGTTGAAAGACGACGTCTTTTGCAACAGACGGGGCCCACCTGTCCGTCAGGGCTTAAGCCAAGAGATCCTGACGGACGGGTGCCGTCCGTCAGACCCGTTACGGCCGTCGACGGGTGACTTTTTATTTACTTATTTATTTTTAGTGCCTTTCGCCCGCTAGTATGGCGAGAAAAATGTAGGTGGAGGCTGAACATCACTATTTTTTTTTCTTAGACGCCTCTCGTACCACTCACAAGCGTGCTTTAACAACAACCAAGATATCGTCTCAACTTTTACATAAGCTTACGCAACAGAGCTCCCATCCGCTATCCACCGGCAAAATTCTCCCGAGGGACATGACTGCAGAGCTTCTAGGTATTAGCCCAGGACCCTTGATTATCGGTTGGTAGGTCAGATACCCGGTTCGGACAAAATCCCCATATCAGCCAGCCAAAGTCGGATTGAAGTTCGGACAAAGCCTCTGGACAGTGGCAGGAGGTCAGATTCAAAGTTCAGACACCAGATCCATTGTTAGCTCAATATTCAAACAATGTTGTCCCACCTTACTGGTTACCTTACTTGACGTCCTTTATGATGCAAGCCAATGAACACTGTGTCAAGCAATGGACTATGCACAAGTTTTTTTTTTAGTTTTTTAAGCAGTTTCGGGGGCCTTTTTGGTTGGAAAAGATTGACAGTCAGATGCAAGTTCGGACAAAATTTGAGATTTTTGTTTCAGTAGAGGCAGAATTCGGACAAAATCTTTGACATGGGGCAATCCCAAAGTTCGGACAAAATCTTTTGAAAGGCCAAAATTGGTATCTGACCTCCCAACCGATAATCAAGGGTCCTATTAGCCCCTATCTCATAAAATGAGGCCCAAACTTATCAGTGATGCATTGAATCGCGCGAGCAGATGCTATTGTGGCGGCGGACATACAACCACCATTGGGTGATGTCTTCAAACGGCTCAGGAATGCTGTTAAGGCTCAAATAATCCTCCGGTTCACCTTTGGAGGTTGTGCTGCAAGTATCCGGGGCCCAGTAGCACGCGGGAATCGTGGATTTTGGTGGTCATCCGGCAGGACCTGTCAACCCGTCAACGGATGGGTACGGGTGCACCCCTTGACGGGCCCACCCGTCCGGTACACGTCCGTCGGGGAATAGGATCTTATCTCGTGTCGGACGGGTACCGACCCGTGAAGCCCTAAGCGGCCCTCGCGATTGGCAGACCGATGCGATTTTGAGGAAGGTCGAGGCGCTCATGCCCATGCTTGTTTAGCCGTCCGACTCAGTTTAGCTGGATATCTGTCAGTCGTGAGTTGATGGCCTGAATTCACCGGTCTCAGGCACATCTTGGACTCATCATGTATTGAAAATTCGGACTTCATTTGAACTTGTAACCTTGGGACATCAATGTGTTCCGGCAGGAAAGTTCCCAACGATCTGGAGTATGAGACCTTGAAGGTATGCGGCTTTCATCTCGCACTAATTTAGCCTTAATGTTGTAGTATCTCGGAACGAACAATGAATTTTCCTGGTTTAGAACTTTAATCTGCTGCCATCTCTGGTCTCCTTGCTTTGCCTTGTTCACTTCAATCCACTGGCAACCATTTGCCCATTATTTCGCTTCAATGCTGCAGCTCATCTGCCGATCTTCATTGATACACTATATCGACAAAAGAAATGTCACATAGTGTTTTCGGTCATTTCTGGGCCAAATCACTCCAAATAAAATGTAGGCATGAACATTTACCGATCCCATGACGGTATGCACTATTTAATCCGTATAATTCCTACTTCATTCTGTTAGAATAAAATATTTGAGTGTTTTCCGAAAAATCGAGTCCGTGGAATCACAGTGAACACAAAAATGGTATATACTCTCTGAAAGTACTCGAAAAACGGATCTCATCCATATGTTGGTCGACCTACATCCACAGAGTTCTGAGCTCAGGGCGTGACGTCCAAGTTGGCCATTTTTAGCATTTTAGCTCAAAAAATGCTAAAGTGACCAACTTGCAAAAGGTATTGTGACGTGGTACTTTATTCACGAGGGGTAGAATATCTTAATTTTAGGTACAATGTCCTGGTTTTGGAAGGATATAAATGTGAAATTGAAGGCATAAAATCCTACGTAATGTTGGCACATAAACTCTCGAACATTTTTCCGGTAGAAAAAACTCTCTCATCATCTTTACCTCTATGGCAGTTGTCGGCAGCTGTCGGCACCATCAGGTGGCTGTGCCAATCGTGCATATGCCGAGCTCTCCCAAATTGCACAATATGTAGTGTATTCTCAAGGATCTACACACAGCACATGGTAATTATTGGATCCTGGAGTTCTCTAGCATATCAATAAGGCTAATATACAGGAGGTAACCTGTAGCCCTTTTCAGAGGGAATATTACAGGTTCAACTCCATCCGGCCCGTAGGTTCATCGGCACAGCCACCTGATGGTGCCGACAGCTGCCGACAGCTGCCATAGAGGTAAAGCTGATGAGAGAGTTTTTTCTACCGGAAAATGTTCGAGAGTTTATGTGCCAACATTATGCAAGATTTTATGCTCCTTCAATTTCACATTTATATCCTTCCAAAACCAGGACATTGTACCTAAAATTAATATATTTTACCCCTCGTGAATAAAGTACCACGTTGACCGCCCTAGCTATTGGCCGTATAAAAGCGCAGTACTAGTCTACAAGTAGATGTAGACAACTTACTCTTAACACTTAACCACTACAACTCGTGACCCGCATATTCAATATACTTGATTTGTGCAGGTTCACGAGGTCTCGCTTCAGAAATGCATGGCTACCTTTACTACTCTGCCTCTCAGAGTCATTCACTACCTGGGATTCAAAATTTTACCGAGCCACCAGCCACCGTTTGCGCACACAGAATTAGCCACCAGCTGGCTCGGTGGCTGCTGCGCAATCTGTCTAATAATAGTATTCCTGACGTCGATCCCAAATATTAAGCGGCTATAGCATATTTAAAAGCGGGATGACACTTGGCGGGCCGTCAACCACTTGTATATTAACCGGAGCTTTGTATACGGAGGAAACTCTACCGGAGGTCCGCCCCAAATCCTCCGAATCAAGTAGTTTTCCGGTTTGTGACATTATTCAGCTCAGCGTCTGGATCAGGCCGGTGGGGAAGCTAGTGGAAGGTAGCGTTTAGGTCGTGAAGGACATGGGAGATTGACGGCCGCAGTTGCGGTTCAAAATCCCAGCAACGGTCCAGGATAGACCAGGCGTCGTTTTTCACTGTATTCACATCGTAGTCTTCTCGCTTGGGCCGAAGCCCTGCGAGGATCCGACTCGTCACGATCGGTCTGCTGGGTCTTCCTTTCGGGGGCTCAGAAGTAAAAATCTGGAGTTTTGTCTTGAATGGCCAGGGTAGAATAGGTTATGATTACGCACCTCTAGAACCAACAGGGCGAAAGAATATACATCGGAACTCTTGGTCGTGCTTGGCGATTCTTCCCGAGTCGCACCATCAATGACGAAAAATAGTTCGGGGGCCATATATGGTGCTGTTCCAACATTTGACATTGTGAAGCCACGGCGATTGATTATCTTGGAGATCCCAAAATCGCATATTCGCGGGGTGCCTTGTTTGTCAACCAGAACATTTTGCTGAGTAGAATAATCACATTATCAGAGTAAATAAGTCGGTTAGTCATTCACGTACCACTTTCAGGTCTCCATGAATAATATTATTTGCATGGAGAAACTCCAGCCCAGCAGCTATACCGCGCACCTATACAAGGTATATGAGAGTCGCTCTATTTGGAGGTTACTTGCTGACGAGGTCCGCCCTATTGATACCAGGATGTTTTCCAAGGTATGTCCCAACATGCCCGAATTTATAAAACGGTGATATCAGAACAGGGGATGGCGCGAGATCGTCGCATACGCCGATGAATGGGAGAATGTTGGGG